GTTTCTAGACACATTTCAAATGCTCAATAGCCATGAGAGCTAGTGGTTTTCAACTTGGACAATGCAGCTTTAGTATTGGTTTCTTAATTTTAATGAATTAAAGTTTTAAAAAATAAACACTAGTTTCTAGCCACATTTCAAATGCTCAATAGCCATGAGAGCTAGTGGTTTTCAACTTGGACAATGCAGCTTTTTCCCATCTGGCCCCTGTTCTCTGTCCTCATCTCCTACTGCTTTCTCCTTGGCTTATTCTGCTCCAGCCGTAATGGCCTCCTGTTCTTTGATTATGGCGGACACTTCCCATTTCAGAGCCTTTGCACTTGCTGTTCTCTTTGCTCCAAAAGCTCTCCCCCCAGATAGCTGCATGACTTGTTCCTTAATCTTCTTCAGGTCTTTGTTCAAATGTCACCTTCTTAGAGATGTTTTCCTTCACCAACCATTTAACAACTGTACCAATTATCTTCTCTCCCTAGCTCTTAAATGTGTGGGCTGCCTTCTAAAAGAAGAGAGAAGAGGGCTGAGAGGGGAGAGGTGACCTGATCTACAAAGGAAAACAGTGAAATATGAGAATTGTCTCATACAGACAGACGAATGAATGTTAGGCAAAAGTAGAGTGAAATAAGGTAGAATAAGTGACTATATGCCTTGAGCTTGCTTGCTACCCAGCTGCTTCAGAGGATCATTTTTTGTCTACATGAGTAACACTTCACAGATTATAAGCTCCTTAAATGCAAGGATCTGCTTTAATGTCATTTTGTACCTTCTCTGGCACCTAACATAAAACTTTTACCAAAAGAGAATCTGAAATCTCCAATCATGGGCCTGTTGGTTAGCCTTTTGTGTTTAACATTCTGTGGTCGCTTCTCTACCCTTCATTCTTTTCCAGTGCCAGCAACTGGTATACTTGCTGATGATTTATATGGGTTGGCTTCACATGCCCTATGGCTGTGATGGTGATACTGGTTCATTCTTTCTTTTCTTGTCCATTCAGCTGCTTTCTTATTCATTTTCCAAAACCAGACCCTCTAAGAAGCCTCCCCTGATTCTCCCAGTTCATTAACTCTCTCTTCAGTGCTACCTTTATGTTGTGTATACTTTTGTTTTTTTATTCTAGTAGGAATACAAATATGTAAACACAATCAGAATAGAATGAGTTCTTGAGGGCTGGGACTGTGCTTTACTAAATTTTTTATCTTTAATGCTTTCCTCCATGTCTTGCTGTAGATACTCAGTGCTTGTTGCATTGAATGAACCAAGTACAGAGCAGCAAAGAAAGTTGCTTTTAATGGGGGAAATTTACAAGGGTACTTCAAAAGTTCATGGAAAGATTTCTATTGTCTGAATTTCATTTCTCCACAAACTTTTTGTTTTGTTTTGGCAGCTGGCCAGTATAGGGATCTGAACACTTGACCTTGTTGTTTCAGCACCACACTGTAACCAGCTGAGCTCACTGGCCAGCCATCTCCACAAACTTTTTGAAGTACTTTCATATATACATCTTAAACCCAAGTACTTTTTTTTTTTTTTTTTGAATAACCACATTGAGAGGTGAGATGTAGAGATGTGGGAAGTAATGGTAGAGGGGAGCAAGGAAATCAGTGATCAATCCCTGTGTAGGAGGCAGGCTAGAGGTGCTCAGAAGCGTTTACTGTGTTAGAGAACCAGGAAAGCATATGTGCTCAAATGGAGTGGCAAAGGTTACCTATTCATATTACACAAATGCTTTTTTTCAGTTTTACCTAAAAGATCATAAGAAGCTTCATTTATAAACTAAGGAATTGGGATATATAATTTTTTTTTTTTTTTCGTGTCCGGCAACGGATCGCAACCCTCAGTGTCGCGCCCGTACCGGACCGGGACCGGCAACGGGGTCCCAAACCCCGGG